CCACTCGCACCACACAACCGTCACGTTGGGTTAGCAATAGCCCCTGCAGATGGTTACAGGAGGGTGGGCTCATCGCAGGTAAACATGAGGAATTTCTAAGCGTGTGCCCTTGTTTGCATGGTGCACCACAGATTGAAACGCCAACACTTGTCTGTGGGCACATTCACTGTGCACTGAATGAGAGCTTCGCTGGAGCCGGTGGGTAGAGTTGTGGCTGTGATAGGCGGAGAGGTGCAGGTGTGCCCTGAATGAGCACGTATGCCTCATTTCGGCACCACGTCCCTCCGTTTTGTCAGCAGAGGTGCACAATGGTGCCCTTCTTGCCATGTGAATTGGCAGCAGGTTGCTCCTATACCTGATGGGAGGCTCCCGGGCTTACTCAAGGACACCTGAATTCGGGGTCTCCAAAGGCGCTCTGCGGGGTGAAGCGATGGTAACATTTTTCGAGCGTGGGGGCGGTTTCTGTGACTCAGGCAAGGCTGCTCCTGTTTCCTATGCCCCACCTCAACCCAACTTTTGCCTTAGCAAAGAGAAAGGGTTAAACCAGGGGTCGGCAAGCTTTGGCACGCAGCTCACCAGGGTAAGCACCCTGGGGGGGCCAGGCCGGTTCGTTTACCTGCTGCGGCTGCAGGTTCAGCCGATTGCGGCTCCCACTGACTGCGGTTCGCTTCTCCAGGCCAATGGGGGCTGTGGGAAGCGGTGTGGGCCGAGGGATGTGCTGGCCGCCGCTTCCCGCAGCCCCCATTGGCCTGGAGTGGCGAACCGCGGCCAGTGGGAGCTGCGAGCGGCCAGACTGCAGCTGCGGCAGGTAAACAAACTGGCCCGGCCTGCCAGGGGGCTTACCCTGGAGAGCTGTGGGCCAAAGGTTGCTGACTCTGGGTTAAACTTTGCTCTACAGCAGGGGTCAGCAATCTATGGCATGCGAGCTGATTGTCAGTGGCACTTTGCTGCCAGCCCGGGGTTCTGTTCGCCAGCCCCCTGCCAGCCAGGGTCCCGGCCGCCGGCCCCGCTTAGCCCACTGCTGGCCTGGATGGACTGAACCCCGGGCCGGCAGCAGGCTGAGCGGGGCCAGCAGCCAGGACCCCAGCTAGCAGGGGCCAGCAGACGGAACCCCAGACTGGCAGCGGGTTGAGATGCTCAGCTCACTGCCAGGCTTGGGCCCCAGCCAGCGGCCCCTGTAAATGTAAAATGTATGACTGGCACGCAAAACCTTCAATGAAAGTGAATAAATGAAGACTTGGCACACCACTTCTGAAAGGTGGCCGACCCCTGCTCCACAGTGTTCACATGCTCAGTTCAGAAAGTGTTCTCTGTCAAGCATCAGTAAGGGCAGGGAGCCAGGCTGGGTGTTATTGACATATTGGCACATCGAGGACAGAGTTGTGGCTGTGGGGAGGAGGTGACGTGTACCTTTAATTCCTGGTGTAATCCTTCGTTGCATGTTCCTGTTTTAAGAGATTCAAGGTTGCATTACTTTAACTTTTCAGTTCCCCATAATAAATTATTTTAACTCATCATTTGCTGTTTTGCAGAGGGTCAAGTATTGGTGCATTTCACATTTTAGAGGGTACAAGGCCCTGCTTAACCAGTGTTTTTTCCTCTCTGGGCCCCTGCTGTTTGTCCATCACTTGCCAAAGAGTCTAAGGTTGCAGCTATGAGCATTCTGTAAGCAGACGTGTTAAAGCTTTTAGAATGCAATAGCTTTTGCAATATTTCGAATAGCCTCCTTAATACCAACCGCCAGCAGCAATCAAGGGCAGTGCCGACTATAAATTGCATGAAGGTCAGATCCTTAGTTTTGCCCTGCTCTGCACCAAAGAAGTTATAAGACTCTGACCATGTTGTTAGCAGCTCATTGAAATACTGAAACCAATAGAACTGTGGCTGTACTAGACTATTAAGGCTGCTGGTTCCAATTTTCAAAAGAACTCAGTACGGTGGGTGCCAAATTCTTTGGAAAATCTGCTCCAGTTGTAAGTACAAAGTATTTGAAATTCTGTCCCCCGCTGCAGAAGCTTCAGTTGTCATGCTGCATAATCCCTATTGAGAAAACAAAGGATCCCATCTCACTTTAACTAGTCTATGCAGAAATGGATCATGTAACATGCCATCGGAAGCCAAATTCGAAATCTGAGCAGTGGTAAACAGTGCCGGAGGGCACAACTTGCCCACGTGCAGAGGCTCAGAAGAAGGTTTCTGCACTGTTCAGAACCTACTCAAGCGAGACTCAAGTGCTACTGCCTGCAAGGACAGGGAGGAATTTCATCCTAGAGAGTGTGCATGTGCATCTCGCTGCAGTCATCTGTAAGTGACTGGTTTTAGGGTAGTAAAAACACCGTTTGATTGAGGTGGCAGTGGCCAACTCAAGCCAGTATAGGAATGAACAAAAAGTACAGCTTGCATCTTCCCCTTAACTTGACCGTTATCCACACAGAAAAACCCCTCATGGGTGGCTGGCTGACACACACACGTGAGCATTGGGCAGATCTCAAATAAGTTCACCATGTTACCCATTAACAAGGTATCCATAGTGTGGACACGGCGCTGCAACCACCATTGAGGCGGTGCTCCAATGCCTTCCCAGGCTTCCTACAGGCCCCCACAACCCTATGGTATTTTCTTGTTAACTAACTGCTCCCTGCTGCTTGACGGGAAATCATCCACCACTGCAAATAGGCCTGTTCCTCTCTTCATGTCCATGTCCCCACGCAGCTTCCATGCATCAGCTAGACTCATCCATCCCTGGTACAGAACTCTTTTTTTTTTTTTTGGAGAATGCCCCCGCCCCAATGTGACAGCTCACGCATGCTGCCAGACGGCCAGGACCGGACACCATGGTACTTGTGGGTCTCTGGTGCAATGCAAGCAGGGCCCAGGGTTTCAGGAGCAAGAACCAAAATGCCAGGCTGTGTGATACTTCACAAACTGCCTGAGCACAAACTCCATCAAACAGGACCTCAGTGCCAGGAGAAAAACCAAGGGATTAAGATGGCAGCAGATCCCAAGCTGGAGCACGCCAAGCCAGAACTAGCTTATCTGAGGCATTGCCAGGTTCATGCCATTTCCACCCAGGTTCTCCAGAAGGGCCAGACAAGTTCTCTCACACAACACTGCAAAAGTATTCACAGAGAGGCACAGTTTATAGAAGTGCTACCAACCACGGGACGTGTCCCCAGCTGCCACATGTAAGCAAACAGAGCACCGCTATGGGCACAAGACATTTCAGCAATCTATCTCCTGCAGCAGTCATCTATTACCCTGTAGCGTGGCCGCTGCCTCGCCTGATAGGCTAATATGAGGACTAACGCAACAGTAGAGTCTGCTATGTGGTCACTCCCTCAATGTTCGGGGCAGATTCTTCTGACCACGTTCTGGAATAGGCACAAAGGCGGCTTATTTTTAAGAGAAATGTGTAATTTGCATTGCATCCGTTTAAAAAACAGCATTGGGGAAAATGTTCACGTGTGAGTTGCACAAGGCACATTCAATTTAGTAGGAGAGACTCAGACTTGTCTCAGTGCAAGAGTTCACATCAGTTTGAAGAAAAAAATTCCGCTGGAAGCACGGGCAAGTAACAGTGTCATTTTTTTCATTAACCTACAGCCACTGTCTCTGTAGACGTGCAGCCATAAGTAAGATTACTGCTATAATTTTGTCTGGTCCCCCGGGAAAAAGGTTTTGAGAACTTTAAAGGTTACTAAACAAGACTTAAACTGGAGGTAGTTTCAGTTTACTTTCAGATTTCAAAATCAAATCGCAGCTAGACACACATCAAAGCAGAAATGTCAGTAGTTTTGCTTTGTTCTTCGACACGGTAAAACCTACGACCCCCATAAATCAGATTCCCTCATATAGAAGAGCTGAAGGCCAAGTAAACAGCTTTTTAAAAAGCTTATTCTTCAGGAAAGACTATGGCAACAGAGTCCACGGGGCAGACTCTTCTGTCACTTATGCAAGCTCTACACGGGTGTAACGCCATTGATAAGTCCTAACTTACACCACTGTAAACAAGATCAGGATCAGAGTGGGCTTCCACTGAAGCCCCCTTTAAACCATCTGAACAGAGGGGAAGCACTTTTTCAAAGCTAATGCTCCCCACGCTTGCTGCTTTGTAACATCACTGAATCTTGGAAGTTGGGGCTTGATATTTGGCTCCTCTTATCTAATTATGTTATGCAGAAGCTAAAATGTCACCAGAGAAGTCCTGGCAAACAAATGCTTGGGTCAATTTCTAAAGGCTGAAATTAAACGGAATGGAGCAAGAGAGTTCATCAGTGGATGTAACCTATGGCTTCATAGCTTGTAAGAGCGGTAAGCCAAGGTTGTATGGTGGGAATGGATTGCTTATAAAGTGGAAGATGAAGGTTTTCTTACAGGATGAGACAATCGAGCCCATGGGGATGAAGGACCGCTCTCCAGTTGCAGACATTTAATGGGGAAATGTAGCTTTCATGAAGACAGAAGACACCAAAGCAAAGCCTCATACCTTTACTCACGTGCTGCAGAACTCAGCTTTTGTACTTTTACGTCGTTAGTCAACGACAAGTGTCATTTTCTGTGGGGACAAGTAGTATCTTCATCTCCAGCAACATTGGGCTGCACTGGAACATTCGAATATTTTATATACTCTGCACAAGCCACAATTAAATGAAATCCTCATACAACATGTTTTTATCTCGATTGGCCAGGTTACCATCAATTATTTATAATGCAAGTCACTAGAGCATAATTCAGTGTTTTCTTTCCCCTGCTATTTTATCTCCTGACAAGTTTTACAAAAGAGAAGAATGGAATATAGCTTAGTTGCACTACATCCAAGATGCTGCCTACACAAATGCCAGAGAGAGACGCTAAATGAACCCCAGAACATATGGCGCTCTGCTGACAGAGCTCAGAAACTGGTTCTGCATGAGCAACACGGAACATCTTGAAACGTACGAGACATATGTGTTTTAGGAAGAAGATTGAAGTGTTTCATAATAAAACAGGACAAAGTGAAATACAAGCGCTGTATACAATTTTAATTAAAAATTGGTTTTACCCTTCAACGTGCATATACAATATGCTTCACAGATGGATTTCATATTTAAGTATTATCCAAACCAAAAACGTAAATGAGACAAATAAAGCCTTCAAAAAATGGCACAGAGGCTAAAATGTATGTAAACACTCCATGATTGTGGTGAAAACAAGGCAGGCAGGGAAAGCAACCTTCTGTCAAGTGTTTACTACTGGAGTGCTGAATGAACCGGTTCACAGAGCTATCGCCTTTGAAAGAACACATGGAGCTCAAAGTCCAAAAATTCCAGTTGGTTTAATGATCTAAACATAAGCATCCAATCTACAGAAGTTCGGAGAAGTGGATATTGGCTGTGTTACTTTCAAACGATTTATTTAAATGACTGTTTTATAAACCCCTCATCCATGGCATCTGGGTGCGTTGATGCATATGGAAAGCGGCACATTAAACTGCCCCCAACAGACTGAACAAAGATCTCCTTCTTTTGTGTCACCCCAACCCATCCTAAGAAAAACCTCCCCAGCAATTCCACAGAGTTAAGTAAAAGCCTGACCAAAGAACAGCAGCTCACCCTATGCCCTGAAAGGTGGTAAACTCTGAGGAACAAAGAGAGAAAGTTCTACAATCAAAGACTCTCCACCAAAACATGTCGGCCTCTAGGCCTAAAAGTTTTCAAAGCTAGGGACCATAGCAAGAGTAGCTCAGCTGATAGCAGCCGTCATAATGGAGCATCGTGGGGAAAGTGGTTTCAGATGGCTAGGTGCCACAGCTCTGTTAGATCAAAACCAACCATCCTGACTGGATGGGAATCCCCAGCAGAAAGCTTGCATGACCTCCGAAGTTGATATGCCAAAGGTAAGGTTTAAATTTCCTACAGGTTTTCATCCAGAAAATTATCCTGGATTTCAGAATAGTTTTCCCTCACAAAGCAAGCACATGAAACTACAAGGGTGGTAGGTGATTAGGGTGCGGAGAAAGGGGAGTGAGAGCAAGAGTTTCCTTGTCTCTTTTTTCAATCTGTGGTGACAACAGTCAACACTTTCAGAGCCACAATCCGCCCCCTCTTCTTTTTTTTTAAAAGATTGGGATCAAGATGTTCTAGTGGTGACCACTGATGATGGTTTGTGTTCGACCCCCCTACATGACAGAAATAGGAATTATTGGAAGACCTTAGTGATCTTTTCCTAGAATACCAATTTGTTTGTTATGGGACATAGGACTTGATCTAAAAAGACTTCCCTCTTTACTGCATCATCTCTGTCAATGAGGTAGTTAATTCAAGTCATACCCAAAGGCTGGCTTCTAGTGGTTTTATTGCTGTAGAATGGATTGGTCACTGACTTCTAAAGTTTCAGGGTTTTCCCCATAAACTTTTTAGAGGAAAAAAAAAGCTCAAAAGTCCTTGTCACACTCCACAACTAATTCCAATTTTTAAATCTTCTCAATAATAATCTCTGATAAATTTTATCATTCTCTTAATCAGACAAGTAAACTCACACTGTCATAATTAAGACAGCTGTTAGACTTCACATGGTCCAAAGACTCTATTAAATTATAGTATTTATATACTGAGGCAACTAGCAAAATTTTGCTTTGCACAGTTCAATGTTGCTAAAATAACATCAAGTTTAGGATTTAGGAAGACGAAGATTATATAGTGATAGAATGACTCACCACCTTCCACTCTAAGTGCAAGGCACATTTGGACCTTGACTCTACTAAGATAAATTAATAGCACAGCATACGTATGCATACATGTATAAACACAGATGAAGTATAAGAACCTGTATAGAGTAGAAGAGACTCCAGTAGGAACAATGCAGGATTAGACATGCAGGATCAAGACCTAAACCAATGAGGTTGGCTAGGATTTTTATTATAATGATTAGACTCTAAGCCACAAGCTGTCAGAGTTGTATATTCTCTTTCTCAATGGACTCTGTCAGATTTAACATCAGACTCCCATCTCAACAGGAATAGTGCTTGTTTAAATTTTGACAGTTACATGATAAAAAAAAGTAAGAAATTGGGAAATCTACAGTAAAGCCCTTTTTATTGAATAGTAGATGGGACTTGGTGAGGTTATTTTTTTAGGAATAAATCGCTTCTGTAACAAATTCTCTCTCAGGATCTTTAAGCACTTTTCCCTGTGTAGGAGAGGTATAGTCTCCCTATTTTATGGATAGGGTAACAAAGGCACAAAAAGGCAGAGTGATTCACCACAGACTTCCCGAGTCTTCTTGTTCCCAGTTCTATAACTTAACCACAAGGAGAGGTTACTCACCTTGTGCAGTGTCTGAGTTCTTGGAGATGCGTCCCCGGGGTGCTCCATTTCAGGTCCGAATGCGCTCTGTGCCTTTATCAGAGAAGTGCCCGTTCATCCCACGCATGCGCCCTGTGACCAAGCCTATATAGGGCTGAGTGGGCAAACCGCCCTCTGTTCCTTCTGTACTACAAAGTCCCACAAAGGAATCTCTGAAGCAGGAGGGTGATTAGTGGAGCTCCCACAGGGACACACATCTCTAAGAACTCTAGTTACTGCACATGGTGAGTAACTTCTTCTCCTTCATCGAGTAGTGTCTTATGGGTGCTCCACTTCAGGTGACTTCCTAGCCGTAGCCCCTTAAGGAAGCAGAAGGTTCATAAGAGAGTGCAGCACTGAGAAAGGACTGTGTTGTCTATGTAGAATCTGATCTTACAGCATGACCCAAAGCCTAATGGTTGGGAAAAGCAAGTACTGAGGTCCACATTGCAGCGCTGCAGATTTCCACAACTGAAACGACCTCAAGTTGGGCTACAGTTGTAGACTGTGACTGAGTAGAATGTGCAGTCACTTGTAGCGGAGGTTGAACATCAGCCAAACTGTAACAGGTAAGAATACATTCAGAGATCCATTTAGAGTCGCTGCATGGAGATGGTGGATCCCCCAGGCCTGTCTGCAATAATGGCAAAAGTCTAGGGGACTTCCTGAATGGTTCATGGTTCAGTTTTGTCCAAGTAAAAGGTGAATGCCCCTTTAACATCTAGTGTATGGAAGGTGGCTTTGGGTATTATCTTATGCAGCTTAGGAAAGAAAACTGGAAAGTGAATAATCTGGTTAATGTGAAACTCAGAAGAAACCTTAGGTAAAAGTTTTGGATGGGGTTGTAATGATACCTTCTCCCTGGAGAAGACAGTAAATGGAGGGCCTGCCATTAGAGCCCCAATCTTCCCAACCCTTCGAGCAAAAGTGATGGCCACCAAACAGGACATCTTCATAGGCAAATGTAACAGAGAGAATGTAGCTGGCGGCTCAAAGGTCTGTTTCATGAGACAGTTAAGGACAAGACTGAGATCCTAAAGCAGAACAGATCTCTAATTTACAGAACAAGTTTCATAAGACCTTTCAGGAACCTCCTTGTGGTTAGATATGTGAAAACTGAGAAACCTTCTACTGGTGAGTGGAAAGTTGTTATTAATTCTAAGTGAACCTTGATGGAACTCTCAGATAGATCTGATATCTTCAGTTCCAACAGGTAAATACAAGACTGTGGAAAGAGATGACTGGACAGGTGAGTGATGAAAGTAGTTATACCAAAGATGATATCTTCTCCATTTCTGGAGGTAAGTGCATGTTGTAGATTTTTTCCTGCTATTTAACAGTACACGTTGTACTCCTGATAAACAGGACACCCCTAATTCCAAGAATCATTGAGGAACCGTGCCTGGAGTTGCAGAACATTCAGATTGGGGTGAAGTGTTTGACCTGCATTCTGAGACAATAGTTGAGAACTGAGGGCAAGAGGTGAGTTCGATGAGGTAAGGAAGCCAAACCTGCCTTGGCCAAGTTGGTGCAATCAAAATGACCCTGGCTTGGTCCTGCTTGATCGTGTTGAAACCTTTAAAAGCAGTGGAATCAGTGGATAAGCATCAATAAGACCCTTTGTTCATGTAATGAGAAAGGTGGCTGCTAGAGATAAAGGCTTGAGTCCTCTTCTGGAGCAGATTTTTTTGCACTCTGTGTTGGCTGCAGTGGTGCAAAAGTCAACCTCTGGAAACCCCCAAATTAGGAATATTTTGTAGAGACTCACAAGTCCAACTCCCATTCGCAATTTAGGGTAAAATGTCTGCTGACATCATTTGCCATGGTGTTTTGTATACCTGGGAAGTAAGAAGCTGAAATGACTATCTGATTGACTATTTACCAATTCCAAATCTTTATCGCTTTGGTGCAGAGCGAGGGGGGACACACTCCCTGCTGACAAATAATATAATATATACAAGCTATGTTGTCCATCATGATCTTGATTGACTTGTTTTTGATTAGGGGAAGAAAGTAGAGGCAAACATTTCTGACCGCCCTCAATTCTAGCAGATTGATGTGCAAGCACTATTCTTGTTGTGACCGTTTGCCTTGGGATACATGAGGATCCAAGTGTGCTCCCCATCCCAAGAGAGAAGAGTCTGATGTTATCATGACCATAGGAGGATGCTGGATGAACAGGATTCTTGCGCAAGGATCCTTCCACGAGGTGAACGGCTGAGTATAGTTTCAGACTGTTTGTTGGATATAGATGCTGTTCTGAGTCACTCCTGGACATACTGAAGATGTAACCTGGTGTTCTATGTTACGAAAACGGAAGCTACCAGATGACCCACAAGTTGCAGCCATGTTCTAGCTGGTATGTGAGGCCTGAACTGCATTCTTTGAATAGAGCAAAAAACCCGTCTGGAGACTTGCTCGTCATCGAACCCAGGAACATTGCTATAAAAAATATACGCAGTATAGGGGTCAAGGCCGATTTCTCAATATTTATTTCCACAGTCTACACTGTGGAAAATTTAAATTGTTGTTTGAATTGCTGACAACACCTCCTGATAAGACCACCCTTTGAGGAGCCAGTCGCCGAGGTACAGACAGACTTATTCCTAGACGATGGAGGCAGGCGGCTACAATCACCGTTATTTTTGAGAAAATCATTGAGGTGGAAGAATGGCTGAAGGGTAGGAATTGGTAGTGATCGACTATGAAATGAAGAAATCTTTTGAAAGAGGGATGAATTGCACGACATAAGTAAGCATCTTTGAGGTCAAGAGTTGCAAACCAGTCCCTGGACTTGGGGGAGGAAATTATAGCTGCTAGGGAAATCATTCTGAATGTCTGATGTACTTAATCAATTGTTTGAGATCTACTTTTGGCCTCCAACCCGTTTTCCTTGGGTAACGGAATATACCTTTGACAAAGCCCTTGTCCTTTATGTTGAAGTGGAACTGGTTTTATAGCCCTTTGACTTCACAGTGATGTGATCTTGTGTCAGCAATTGATCATGAGAAGGTCCCTGAAGGGAGAAGGAAAAGGCAGGTGGGAGGGCAGGATGGAGATAAATTGGATCATATAACCAGAAGTAACAGCGGCTGATACCTATTTGTCTGATGCATGGGAGACAGTAACCTATTGGTATAGCGAGAGACAGTGTCCAAAATAAGGGAAAGGGGTGGAATAGTGTAGCCGAGAAACCCTATCAGGTGGTTCAAACTCTCGGCTAAACCCTCAAAAGTGAAGTTTGGGAAATGATGATCGGCTCGGATGAAGTATTCAAGTTAGTCACTGGCTCCTTTTTAGAAAATCTTGACCTCTTAGCCGGCGGTTCAGATGGTCTACGGAGGGCGGAACATTAAGCAGGATGGGATCTTTGCACGGATTGAGTCCTGCTGAATTTCTTTTTATTTGCAGGCATGTATATCTCCAGGAACCTAAGCGTAGACCTAGAGTCATTTAGGGAATGAAGTGAGCTGTCTGTGGAGTCCGCATATCACTATTGCAGTGGAAATAGACCTGGCTGCAGTGTCACCCACATCAAGTAAAGCCTGCAAAGATGTCTTTGCCACGAGCTAACCCTCCTTTATTATGGCACTATACGGATCTCGGTAAATGGTCAATGAAAGCATTAAACGTCTCATAATTCAGGTAGTTACATTTCAACATCAGTGTTTGGTGACTCACAATCCCAAACTGTAATGTTGCCAAAGAGTAGCTTTTATGACCAAAAAACTCCAGCCACTTCTGGTCCTTGTTATACGGGGTAGCTTTAGAAATACGCTGACTCCCCCTTTCATTAACTGTGTCCACGACTAGAGAATTTGGTGCCAGATATACCTATCTCATAGAACTGGAAGGGACCTTGAAAGGTCATCGAGTCCAGTCCCCTGCCTTCACTAGCAGGACCAACTTTTTGCCCCAGATCCCTAAATGGCCCCCTCAAGGATTGAACTCACAACCTTGGGTTTAGCAGGCCAAACCACTGGGGCACATCTCCTTGTGAAAACAAAAACTCACTATGTCCCCAGCCAGGGATTCTATTTTTTATTGGCATACTTGCACGTAGGGGGTTCCACTGCTGGAGTTTTCCAGATGGTCTGGGCTGGCTCAAGGAGAGCATCATTAATTGGCAGGGCCACCTGTGCTGAAGTAGAAGTCTGCAATATGGCCAGGAGCTTGTAAAGGGAAGGTGGGTGAGAAAGGACCGAAGGCGCTGCACTCACACAGCCCTATATAGCCTCAGAATGGGGCATGTGGATGTGTAGGGCGCAGGCGAAGTCTGAATGGGCACTGCTACCAAAAATCTCCGATCAGAGGCACAGGTGCATGTGCACCTGAAGTGAGGCACCCATAGGGACACACCTCAAAGAAGACTAGCTTCTTTTAACAGATTTCTTAGTTTTCTGGTGACTCACTGAAAACTTCAGGTGAAGAAATCTTGAAGAGCTAGTCTATAAAAACCCAAACCACATACAGTACAGAGAACCTGGAGCACTTTCCTCATCAAATGAGTTGAAAGAAGTTCAAATTTTGAGCCTAAAAATTCTCAGTGTCTTCATTACCCGAGGCGTTCCACATCGTCCGCTCCATCTGACATTCTCAAGGGACCAGACTGAGGCTTCTATCCTTCTAGCTGGGAAGCTAGATAATGCTGATCCTTAAAGAGCTTGACACTTCCACCTCTTAATCACTACAGGGCAATGCTGAGGGATTTTTAAAGTGACTGCTATTTAGCAAAGAGCCTGACTTGTGATTGAGCCCCAGTGTTTGTACAGTTTGTGTTTGCGCAAACCAAGTTTCTGCCCCAGTGGGAATTGAGACAAAAGTAGCCTCAGTTTGACTTATTAAAAGAAAAGTGATTAAAATATTACGCTGATTACATTTTGTGTCACACACAATACCAAAAAGGCAAATAATGTCTGGTTAGAATACTCCCGGGCTATGACAGTCCAGGGGAGGAAAAAAAGACTGATGCAATAAACTCTAATTCTCTCAATCTCTCCCATTATTTCTAGATTTGAGTAGGCAGGTAAAATGGTGGTGGTGGAATTATGCCATCCTACTGTCACTAACACACCACTTTGTGGATGGCAAAAGATAAGGACTGAGCAAGAAAATGCTATTTAAAGCTCTGCTCAGGAACCTAGAAATTTGCATTTGATAGAAAGGATTTAAATTGTATTAGAAGGCAAGGTGCACTAAACAATCACAGTTTATTACTATGTTGGTTCACTGCCTGAGACTATACTTATCGCACACGGCAGTAGCAGAGGAGAATCAGTCTTCTCTGCACTTGAGCTATATGCATATTAATAGAAGGTTAGCCAAGCACACAAACAGGGGAGGGGGCCAAACACTTGTTTTAAAAATGGCTTGCAGATTTCAGAGGGACAGAGCTGTGTGGCTTGACTCTTAAGTCACATTTCGCATACACGTTTTCCCCTAACAACAGAACTGGATTCCAATACAGGCTTTGGAAGAAAACCCTCAGCTATATCAAGGTGTACATATTACAAGCACAATCCTGCTATCAGAGAGGTGGTTAGCGGATACTGATGATACTAGCTGATTCTAAGAGGCAAAACATCTACACACAATAGGAGCAGGGCTAAAGGGTAGCCATTCAATTTATAGCACACGTTACGTTATATAGCAAAACTTCATATGGAGAATATTCCTATCCAGCAAAATTCAAATATGAACGCTTCATTTCCTCTCCCGTTCTTCCTAAAGGAAGCCCAGACTAAGCAAGCCTGTAAGTTCCCCACAAATTTAAAGAACCAGGATTGCCACCTGTCAATCAGGCTAAAATGGAACTTAAATTACAGCCTCGTCTTTCCCACCAAACTCCTGCCCCTTTAGCCCACACTTTCTTTCTATGCTCCAACTCATTATCCTGGCTTCTCATGGTGGGTCTCTCTCCTGTCTTCCCCCATTCCTTGATTTTCTGGCTGCACATGTGGGGCTGGGGGTCTCCAGTCTCACACACAAGGAGATGGCACCTCTATGTTCAGCACCTCCCATGTGTTTAACTAATTGGGCTCAAATTAGTAACTAATTGGCTGAATCACCAGAGATGGGTAGTGGTGAATAGCACTCCTATATCACAGAATATCAGGGTTAGAAGGGACCACAGGAGGTCATCTAGTCCACCCCCCTGCTCAAGGCAGGACCAATCCCCAGTCAGATTTTTGCCCCCGATCCCTAAATGGCCCCCTCAAGGACTGAACTCACAACCCTGGGTTTAGCAGGCCAATGCTCAAACCACTGAGCTACCCCTTCCTATAGAGAGAGAATGGGCCAAGGTGCAAAACAGAGGATAGGAGGTGATATCCTAAATATTCTTAGTCCCTACACCACAATTACACCTGTCCTGCTGAGACTGTGAAGGATGCTTGCGGCTGCTAAAATTTTTTAGACAACAGGGAGCAGTCAAGGTGAGGCACACCGAGCGTGTGCATACACAGCACATGCTTCATGTCCTGCAGGTCTAGCATGCCTAGGGCAAACACCAGCTTTGCTCTGGTTACCTGAACAGTAGTAAAGTGCATGCTTACAGTTTTCACTCAGCTATGACACTGGGGTCAGGCCAGGAGGGAATACTGAACAAGGAGGGGTTGACTGCATGGGCAGGAAGACAGGACTCATGGCGGAGTGCTCCTTCACATCAGGAAATCATTTCAACCTGCACTTGCAATGTAGATTTTGGTTGGGTAACTCTAGGTCACATGCTGGCAGAGAGCCAATCAAATTCTGCCTTGGCTTTTCATGATGCGTAAGTGGTCTTCCCAGTTCTTCCTGCCATCTTTTCATTGGTCATTTTTATCTATTACAAAACTATTGTAGTACAGACCAATAGGAACCGGAGCCACAGAAAAACAGCCCGGTTTAATGGATGAGCACAGGGCTAGGATCCAGAAACTTGTACATTCTCAACCCTGCTGTGCTGGTGAGTACCAAGCTTTGGATAAGTCTGTGCTGTACATGTCCATCTCTAAAAAGTGACTTACTAATACTTCTCTACATTATAGGAGGTTGTGAGGGTTAAATAACTGGTTAATTTTTGTTTTGCACTCTGAAAATCTAAAGCACTGCAAGGCCAGGAACATGGAGTTGTTAATCCAGCCATTGGTTTAGCTGTTACCAGGAGCAGAAATGCCTGTATTCAGTACATTTCCTTCAAAAGCCCCCTTTCCCGAAGCTGCGATGCACAGCCTTTCAATGTGATCTGCACCTGACTTACTCGTTCGCTGGCTGCTTCCTTAAATCAGTTAGGTTATCTTAGTATTAAAGCACGGATTGGAGTAGGCCAACATTTAGTCCATCCCCGTATGTTGGCAGGTTACAGTCCTAGATTTCTGCCATCTGTACAACTAGCTTTGTCCAAAAGCAAGATATAAGATGGCACTAGTGTAACTGAATCTGTCCCAGCTGCCTGCTTCTGTAGCGAATGCGCCAGGATACACATTTCCTTTTGAAATGGGAGAAACAAGCGGGAGATGGACATGCTTGCCCTTTTAAATCACTCAGATGGGCAGCTTGCCCTGGTCTGTTAATGTGGGAGCTGTTCACTGTGAGGCTGAAAAGGTTCCTTCTCCTGGGAAAGCATCCAACTACTGCCGAACATTTGGTGGCCTTTAACGAAAAGATGCAATTTCTGCCAATACATCCCCAGCAGGCTAGTAAGGATGGGCTCCAAATGTGGTGGGATTGTGATGCAGGGACTTCATAATGCTTGCATGGGGCATCTGGCTCTAGCCGATGAGCTCCGAAAGTGATCCTGGAAACTTTTAGACATCGTTACATTGGGATGCATGAAGAAGAGATGTTTTCTTACAATATATAGATAGTTATTTTCAAAAGAGCTTACCAGTAATAGAAATTTCCTGGCTGAGAGTGCTGAGAAACACTTTCAACACAGCTACAGGGTTACTACTGTATCAGAATTTTTCCCTTCTCCATTTCTAGACCTGGAATGAGCAGACATTATCCTTCTAAAAAAATCCCTCCAAACAGATAGTCTTGTACTATGATCATCTCACTAGCTGTTTAAACACTGGGGCAGGTTTCACTTTCAACCACTTATATTTAAATTGCTAATAACTGAAACCGAGTTGGCTGCAATCAAAGCCTGCACTGATGACTGATAGGAGCATCCACTTTACTCAGCGCCTGCTTCAGAACTGAAAAGGACAAAGGGGGGGGGGTGAAATAGCACCATCCTAGCTTCTTAAGGGAACAATGCGCCTGCTTAACTTTAATTGTTTCGCATTTTCTTTTTATTTTAAAATTTTGCTTTTGGGGTCCCAGCCTCAAAGCCCCACTAGCCCAGAAGAGTTCTTCCCAGTGAACATTCCATGTTAAAAAATAGAATACAAATATTTGTTACACAAAAATAATTCTCATTAAAAATAGTAACCTTGTGCACTGTACACTTCTGGTTGTATTGTTATCAGGAGGGTATTTTTCTTTTTGAAATGGTGCCACAAGCTTTTTTGTACATGTTTCTGTATATTTTCTCCAGGCTGTCTTCAAAGATAGCTCTGTGGGGTTTTCCTTTATACACAGCTGCACGGTTGGACCAATATTCACCATTATCCAAGTGAACGGTGGTGTTCTGCTGAGCCGATGAACTGTTAACACAAGCAAAGCCAAAATGATCAGTCTGAGGAGAAGAGGAATCATGAATCTGCAAATGCAGTGTGAACCCAGATACAGTGCTGAGAAACAGAGACATTTTGCAAATAGAAATATAATTATACTGAAATTATTCTAAGAAACAGAAGCCCATGTTATTAAAATACAGAAGACTTAGTTCATGTAACCAAGTACACTTTATAAATACCTCTGCAACAGAGGCAGAATTCGTTTTGGAACAGAATGTGGTTGCTTTACGGTATTTTGACTGGCAATGTGACTAGGCATTGAGCCCTATGCAGCAGCTACACAGGATGTGTGTGTCCTTTGAAGGTCAAAATGTAACCATAAGCAGCTATTTCAATATGAAGACAATCTATTCAAGGTAAATTAAATGACTGTAGTTGCAGCTATAATGTGTTCTATCCTCACCATCTCAGGTTAAAAATATATTTTACCAAATACATTATGATATAATGGCAATGGAACGTTACTTGTTTCTTCCCATTATGTGTCAGTGTTTTAATATTTGTAAGAAAAGATTTTCATATACCAGTAGCTTCCAGAATTCATTTTCCTAGAACCATCAAGTAGAATTTATCCTCTGAAAGTCTTCATTACCAAGCACTGACAAATTTTAATGCATTTATATATCTAAGCTTCATGGATTGTTTGCTTTCTGTTAGAACCTTTGAAATAAATGGTTGCATTATAATAAAACCAACCAGTTTGATTTTATGTTATTATATCTGAAATTAGGTCATCAAACATTAAAAAGGTAAAAATCAGTTCTGGGGTAAATTTTTCAAACACACCTAAATGACTTAGGTGTTTTTGAAATGTTTACCCCTGTTCTCTAAAGGTTCAGATCCCAACCCTACCATCTTCTGAATGGGAAAATAAACTGGACATGTGAAGTTTACTGGTGGCCATTTTTGTCTAGAAAATAGAAGTAAGATTTGATTTTACAGCTAAACTTCAAAATTGTGTTGCTTATGCATATATTGATCAAGTCAAGTCACACCACTCCAGCAGAGTGACAGAATTTCCAGGTTTTAATATTCTGTCTTGAAGTTAATATGTATTAAACGATGTGACAAAAGGGGGAACCAATGTATGTGAAATTATTCATGAGGGTATTTTTAGGTAGCAACAGCATCTCGTACTGAGGTTTCCACTGAAAGGTGCACTTAAAACAACGGGAATGGGGTGGGGAAGGATGAGAGATTTAGGGCCAGATCTCTAAAACCTGGTCTCCCTTTTTGCACATGATAAACAGAAGGTATAATCTTCCACTTACAATTATATGCTGGGGCACAAACAATGTAATTTGGAAGCCAGTCTACAGGCTATAGAAACAGGGAGTTGGGTGAAAAATGCATCAGCTGTGCCCACAATTGTGGGCACAAGGCTGAAAATGCATAAAGGCCATCTTGACACTTAATCCCCCCCCCCCCAAAAAACAGGCCTTGGTATTTTAAATCAATTGACTATTTGCAGTAAATTAAACATAGCTTTCCTTACCATCCAGGTAGAACTGCACTTTACAGCTTTGACTCTTAAGAAATCAACACACAAGGAATGTCAAATCAACAAGAGATCCTCATAGTCCCATAGTGAATTTGGACAGTTCTATAGAATTGGAGGCTAGGTCAAGATACCAGATTTGTATTTTCTTTTACACAGCCCATACCACTATCTATCCTCCAGAAGAGAAGTCACAGTCCACAGTCCAGCAAATAAATATCCTAGTAGGACAATGCATCCACCTTCATGTATACAACCCAACCAACAGTTCTACTTCCTTATTTAGATAGATTGCTCCCTATAGTCTGAATTTGCACTTCCTTCTACTAAAAACGTAATGTGGGCCAGAAAAACTAAAGTTCCTCACATGCCTCCATTCAAAAACCATCACAGTAGCAAACAAGGCTGACTCATGAAGAATGAGAGTAAAGTCAGCAAATTCCATATCAAGGTCATGACAAAGCCTTAAAGCTTAAGGGCTGTCTATTTTTGGTGCATTTCCATTAGTCACTCCTTGCTCATGAGATATTCAGCATTGGTATGGACAAAGACAGCCATGTTACAGAAAAGCCAGTCTCCTGTCTTAACTGGAAAGCATCCTGACAATCTGAGCTAAGTGACCTGGGAATTACACACACAAATCATTAACAGCAGAATTTCTGCACACAACTCCCCACTCTGAAATACCTGTCATGTGCTTTTATTCCCTCATACATCTCCTTTAGGAGTCCCAGAAGTTCTTTTCAGAGTGAGTCATACACTAAATATTTCACACAACATGGACCTTTTCTATACTCCCAGTGGTTTTCAATCATCTACTTTACTGCAAACATTTCGTTGGCAGTACCATGTCCTTCTCTGAACTCTGTCTCTGTCCTTGTATCCTGTTAACAAAAACTGTGCAAACCCTGAGCAGTCAGATTATGTCTCTTTGCCTTTTGTGGAGTGGAATTAGTGTTGCCAGTGTCTAACCCCAAGATGCAGTACTTTCCCAACTTGAATGCCCCATTTCATATCCCGTCATTTCTTGATGCTGTAGTACTGGGGTTATTTCCCCCCGACCCCCTCAAGGCTTGAAGTTTCAACATCAATCTTAAAGTCTCAAAGCTGCCTCAACACAGAGATGTGTGTACACAGACACACAGATACTTTGTTTGCTTCAACTGTCAGGGCAAGGGAACATAAGGGATACTGCCACTCCCTTATCCTAAGTGTAAGTATAGAAGTGTTATCAACGCTTATGTAGCAATTGCTCTAAAACTTAATAAAGAGAAAAGTAAGTGTTCTCTGACAGAAGAGAGTATGATTGTTATTGTAACCCTTAGTTACACCCTAACTGCAGAAATTAAAATGTAGGGTTTTTTAAACGATGCTAATAGCAAACCACTAAATGTTACAAGTTCACTACACTGCACAATATGAATGTTCTTCCATATGCATCCGAAGAAGTGGGCTGTAGTCCACGAAAGCTTATGCTCTAATAAATTTGTTAGTCTCTAAGGTGCCACAAGTCCTCCTGTTCTTCTTCCTGTCTGTACATACAATGACAACTTGGCAGTCATTGTGAAAGTTTGCATCACATTTAAGTATCAAAACATAGTTATTTTAGGTCAAAACCGCCTAGACTTAGCACTGCAATTCTGGAGGGTTTTTTAAAAAACAAAAAGCAAAGGTACATAGACCTAATAATGTTTTATATGTACATTGGGATTTCTGAGGATGAAAGGCACTAAGTGTTTCACAAACTACCACCAACACCCTTTCCTCACCCTCCCACCCCCGCAACTGCAACCATCTCTAGGATACGGGATGGCAATGAACCAATGAATGCACTATGAGTAGGAACGCTGGAGCAAGAGCTTCTTCAGATGAAGAGTGCCAGAAGATACCACGCCTATGTAAATCAGACAGGACCTCAATTTTTGAGGTCTCATCTGAAATACATACACTAAACTGTCGAGTACTGTGTTTAATCCACCCTATCACAGATGAAGCATAGAGTACGACACTTGATCTTAAATTAAAAAAAAAAATCCTCTCTCAGTTACATGCCTGGGAAAAGCTGTCTAGCTACTAAGCATCAATTTTCACATTTCTATCATTTAAAAGATAGCAAATTTTCTATTTTGTAAAAAGTATTTGGTTCTCTGGCTGAGATTATAAAATCCAAATTACTGCCCCAGGATCATTTTTATGACCATGTACATCCTGAAAATAGGGATTAATGAAGGTTAGACTGACAGTGTCAGTCATAGCAGCATGGAAGACACCATGATAATTAACTGTATTTTGCTTTTAGGTAAAAAATCTCAGTAGGACTAACTCAGAGAAGCATTTGGCCATCTTACAGCATAAATGGAAAATGAATTCTTTAAGTATCCATTTTGCAGCTAGATGTTAGCAATGTGGTGTACATGTTGTTTCTATACCAATTACCAGACAGGACAGTATATATCGTAGTAACCAAACTTCATACCTGCTCTGTAGTTCACTGCCACATAATGAGTCTTTACATGAAATGTCTCTTGTCTTACTTGAGTCTCCTTTCGATGAGTTACTCTCATCCTAAAAAACAGAAATCAAATTCTCATTAGCTCGGTTTCTGATTACAATAGTTTCATTTAGAAATAGTTTCCTTTCATTTAGTAAATGACTATTAAACTGCTTACATTTCTTGAGGGAGAGAAAGGAAAAGGTGTAATGAACCAAATACTACCTATGATCAGTTTTAATTAAAATCACTGGAACTCAGCTAATAATTTTCAGGTAATAAACTGGAAAGAATTTCTGGGAGGTGTACATCCAAGGGCCTGTGCAGAGGATGGTAGTCACTCATGCTCACTATACACACACAGGGTTGAGTGCTAGGAAGCATGCTGGTGGCAGCACTGCATTTGTATCTTGCAGAAGGGGTATGTGGGGCTCAGGAGAAGGGTATGTCTTTAGTTTAATGGACTTTAAGGTAACTGTGATGTATTTACTAGGGTGACCAGATGTCCCGATTTTATAGGAACAGTCCCGATAATTGGAATTTTTTTTTTAATATGGGCTCCTATTACCCCCCACCCCCGTCCCGATTTTTCACACTTGCTATCTGATCACCCCAGTATTTACTGACTCAGTAGAGATAGTCTTAAAAAGTAACTACTTAGGATTCTTCATCTTCCAAGAGCTTAACAAACATTAAAGAATTAGTCCCCTGTGCAAAAGGTAAGTAGCATAATACCCACTGAAAGTCAGTAGAGCAACCAAGACTAGAAGGTAGGAATCCCTTTGTGATGGGTCCCCCGCCCCCCTGGGGTGCCACTTAGAACTGAGGTACTACTGGCCCGCCTGACCCACCAGCCTGGGTTCCCTCTCCGCTGTATTGTTGGGCAGCCTGCCAAGCCCTTCCTCGGGCTTCAGACTGAACTTTACCAGCACACGTACAGGTAGGGACAGACCCAGCTGCAGCTTCACACAGATGCTGAGATCAGCTCTGCAGGGAAAGGCTCAGCTAAGGAACTACCCAGTACTCAAGTGCACCCCACCCCCCTCTAGAGGGTAAATCCAAAATTATACCATCTTGCGCTGCACAGAGATTCGTATAGTGTAAGCTCATGAAATTCGCCCCCTCCCTCAACGTGGAGAGGAATATACACAGCTTTCGGCCCCACAGTTATGTTTTCCACCCACTGGTCTTAGACAAAACAAAACAAGTTTATTAACTACAAAAGATAGATTTTAAGTGATTATAAGGGAAAGCAAACAGATCAAAGCAGATTACCTAGTAAATAAAACAAACACACAATCTAAGCTTAATATACTAAAGAAATTGGAGATGTGTAGCAAATTCTCACCCTAAATGTTGTTTTAGGCAGATTGCAGAGCATCTTGAAGGCAAGCTGCACTTGCTTGCAACTTAAAACTCCAGTTATTCCTTTCACAGGACAGACAGCCCTCTAGCCTGCGTTCAGCCCTTCTCCCCCAGCTCAGTCTTTTTGTTTCCTAGGTGTTTACAGCAGTCATCTTGGGCGGGGAGCCAGTGAAGAAGGAATCACGATGATGTCACTCCCCTGCCTTAAACAGTTTTAACATATGGTGGGAACCCTTTGTCTCCCAGTTTGATTCCCGTGCCGGGTCAGTGGAAAAACACTAGTATTATCATGGAGTCCAGTACCAGGTGACTTGGTCACATGTGCCCGTAGGGCCCCACAGCTATGTCTCAGAGGCTGTTTGCAGTGTCCCCAGGAAGGCTTCCCAGGAAGGCTCCCCTGGCGGGAGATTAGCATCCTCTAAAACCTGTTGTTCTCCCTAATGGTCCTTCCCAACCAGCCATCTAGATTGATTGCATTCCGCCTAATGGGCATTCCCCAGGTGTAAACACATTTGTAATAGATGCATAAACAATATTCCCAACTTCAGATACAAAAATGATACATGCCTACAAATAGGATAATCTTATCCAGTAAATCATAACTTTTTCAATGATACATCACATGACCTATCTTGTATAAAATACATCACAGTTATGCCATAATCATATCATAACAATATCTTTATGAAGAATATGGGGGCATAGTGTCACACCCTTCCCTTGCTTATCCACACCTACTGTGCAGGAATAGAATAAAGGACTGTACAGAGTCGAACCTAGAAGATGTTTTCAACAGAAGCCAACTGCTGCAAGGATTAGTGAACAAATTACCTTTCACGTATGCTGTTAATATCATCAAATTGGTTGAGAACACAAAACTGGGAAACAGGACAATGAATATAAAGGAAAAGAGAAATAAAATGGAGAGCAAGCTGAAAGGCCTAGGACTGTGGAAAGGCTAACGCTATTTATCATGGAGAAATAGAAGGTAATGAGGGTGCATGTGTAAACAGGAAATCTGACTCTGCCCTCAGCAGGCACACTCTACAAAGCACCGAGCAGAAGGAATCAGGTGCAGTGATAAACCCTGAAATGTTTGCCAGAAGCAAATTAAATTTTGGAAGGCATAAGAAGATGCATCAAATGTAAACAGGAAGATGCTGTCCATAGAGCTGTCTGAATAACTGAGTTTTCGGTTTGCTAGCAGGTCCAAAAAAGAAAAAGAAATCAAATAAATATTCATAGGAGCAGGGACTGGAACACCCAGGTGAGCGCTGTAACCACTAGGATTATAGTTTAGAGTTGTTCTCCCTCTCTCTGGCCCAACGGATATACTATGTGGAACAGCTTCAACAGGAGATGACGGAGAGCCCCACACAGAATACTTTATAGCCTGGTGACTAGGGCATTCACCTGGAAGGTGGGAGACCTGAGTCCTTCTTCCAGAGTGGGGATTTGAACCAGAGTCTCCCAAGTGCCAGGTGGGTGCTCTAACCACTGAACTACTCTGTATAAGTGGGGCACAACCATTGCCTCCTCTTCCGTTTTGTGAATGGTACCTACGTCTCCTGGTGAAGCCAGCCCTTCCCTCCCCCCCCTAAAAAATCTAAATATTTTATTTCAATTACGGCAAAATTTCAACACTTCCTGTTTTTTTCTTGTTCTCAACTGAAACAATTTGCCAAAAATCAACAAATCCACAAAACGTTTTGGGCCACCCAAAGCTACATGTTTTGGCGAAAGAGCTTCAGATTAAATATTTCGCCCAGCTCTAGTTTTCCCACATGTTATAATTAGAGCTGTAGTAGCCCCCTTTAGAATTTTCTCCAGAGTTTTGGTCACAGTATTTTAAGAAGGCACTACAGATATAAAAACTAGCAAAACACAGTTGGCTGATGTTGCACTTGATCTCAAGGTCTGTGGTTATTTGGAAAGGTTAGAGACATTAGGCCCTTGCTCTCTGGAATAACAGGAATTAGAGACCATTCCGTAGTATAACAAATTTGGAAAGGAGTGGAGACCTAAGCCAAGATCTCAGTTTCCTGTATGCTAATTTGCTTGCTGTATTATTACCTCCCCTCCTCATCTGCCTCACCTACCTGTTGCCTTCTATCACAACCTAGATTTTGAGATCTCTAGGATAAGAAGTGTCTTTCTACCGGGTGTTATAGAGCACCCTGAATTATGGTGCCTCAGGTGATAGTGCAACACAAATTAATGATACAACACTTGGACCACAGCTCAAGCAATTCTCTGCTTATTTAAGTGAAGAAAGGTGATGTGAACATGAACAAAAGAGAATAAGACGCAGAGCTTTTATCTGAAAGCCAGTCAGTTATAAGTGTACCAAAAATAAAAGATCCCATCCTGCCTGATGTCCTGCCTTCCTGTTTCTTCCCAGTGGGTCTCACTCCCACCTGCCCTCCTAAATGGGATAGTCTTTTTGGGCAGGGAGAGGGGGTCACAGAGACTTGCCTTACCATTGTTCAACACAGCCTATACTAGCCCATCCACTCACCTGCAGAACTGGCCATGTCTGCTCAAGCCAACACAGCACATCCTGTCAGGTCTGGGTGAGCGTGAGGGAGAAATGGTTCAATATGGCGGTAAGAGACACGAAGCCCCTTGTGCAGAGACAGCTCAGGAGTGGCATGAGGCTTTATTTTTGTGTTCTCAAATGATGACTTTTCAAGACAGGGCCAGTGGAAAAGACTCACATTTCCCCATTTGCAGTTCCTCTTTAATAGTTAAAAGCCATTTATGGCTTCATGGGAAGACAATGTAGCCGGTCATCAGGCTGTTTTAGCAAACTAGTAAATCCTTTTATCTTAGAGTCATGGTCTGGTGTTCAGGAGAAGCAGTCAAGGACTATTGGAGCTGGTTTAGGCTGTGCAAACTTTCATTACACATAGGTGCTAGACCATCATAAAATTCAGTTTGCCATTCTAAATTCATTGGAACATCAGAAGAGGCTGACCTGAGCTGTACCTGCTTTTGAGTGCTTAGAACACAGAAAAATGTTACAAACATCTTGTATTTAACGGGCCGCAGTGCAGCTCACACAAGGTCATGAAGTTCATGTACAGTTTAGGGAAGGTACAGCGTGTGCACTTACATTTAGTCAAATAGACTTAACACGCACAGAAAAAAAGTCTCTCTAATAGCTTTGAAAAATAGCCAAGGGTGGACAGAAAAAATCAGATTAGGAGACTAGGTTCTCATACCTGAATATGAATGGGTGGGCACAAACACATGCATTATATGAATTTTAGTTACTGTCTATACTGTAAATCTGGGGATTCAGACCGAATATCTTTCATTTGACAAGAATTTCAGTCTGTGCGTACACCTAGTTTTGTAAATAAATTTGTAGATTAATAATTTGAAAAGTCAAATTTTTGTCCTCCCTCCAAAACAGAAGTTGCAGGAGCTCATGGATGTCATTTTAGGCTAATCAGTAACAATTCATTCTCATCCCTTCATGTAAAGAAGTTATATATAGCACCAGAGGGTCCTGTGGCACCTTTAAGACTAACAGAAGTATTGGAGCATAAGCTTTCGTGGGTGAATGCCCACTTTGTCAGATGCATCTGATAAAGTGGGCATTCACCCAT